GAATTGACCAATCATAGTCATTGCTGTACATTGTTTGATTAATACACAACATTGTTGTATGTTGTGTATTAATCAAATAGTGGAAAATGCCAATGCGTTGTGCAATAGGTTGCAAAAGCAGCATTAATAAAGAAAGAACCACCAGATAGTAAATCAGGAAGAATGAGAAAAATTACATGCCATGCGTAAGTATGTACCTGGTTGTAGATTTTCACTTGATTTCAAAGGTAACAAGATGTCTTTTAGACATACATGTTCTCTGTGTATCCATTATATTGATTATATTTGTCTCGAGTTTTATCTTGCAATATACAATACATCTTCAGAGCTGTACTTGAGATGATATTATTTCAGAATATACATATGTATATGTATACATTTCGCTGTTAAAAAAGAAAGAGTATATCATTGCTTACGTTACATTTAAAAAATTTCAAGTATATAAATTACGATTCATTTGTTTCAATGGAAAAGTTTAACATATTACAGTTTTCTACAACTACGTACATTATAAGAAATAAAATTCTCTCAAGAGTACATCACTTTTTCGCCATTGTATTTATTACTATTTCAAATGTCGCGCTCCAGTAAGCCACGCCAATGTGGCGCTTACTGTTCCCCCCCTTACGTCTGCTTAGACAGACCGAGGGGAAATTGCTCCAGTTATTCTTCCCTCCACCGACGTCTCGAATCGCACGGCCCGCGATTTCCGCTCGACGTGCTCTCTCGCGTTGCACCGGTTGCACGCGAGCTGAATCAGCAGATACGTCACGTGTCGGCACGCGCAGCAATTTCTCTAATCGTAAAATGATGCGTAACCATTGCACACGTTGAGCTATATAAAATTACATACAACGTATATCACCATTATATAATTTTCAATTGTATAAAATTGTCTTTTATTGACGTCATGGGTTTGTCCACTTCCATTTTCTCGACCTTCTCGCAATTTGTATTACAAACGAGCTACAAAAATTTATAATGTATACGTAACAAGATACATACAAAGTTCCATTTAAATATTAGTTTATTGTTATTTACAAAATAAATAAGATTTAATAAAGTAGCTCAACGGGAAATTTACTCTGAGATTTAATGAAAATGTCAATTATCGAGATATACTCTCCCATAACGTAACGTTGCTCGCAGCGTATTCTCAGCGGCTCGTCAGGGTTCGTGCCGTGTATAAAACGATGTATCTCATCCAAGTAAAAATCTATTTTACTCGCGTAAAGCGGGCCGTTTGTTTCGTACTTCAATATGTTCGCGTCGACCTGTTCGACCAGGCGGTTCAGATACCGTGCTATATTTATTACCCCCAAAATCTTGTGCATTCCCGGCAACACCATAATGGGATCGAGTCCAATTGGCTTCCAAATCAAAGTTAAAGATATGTCCAGTTTTGCATTCTTATCGGGACGGGGCGGAAATTGGAACAGGCCGTGGGTAGCGAGCTCTTTAGGCAATGCGTTTGTCACCGTAGAATGAACGTACGTTGATGTAGAAAGACGCAGGCACGGCGATAGGAAATACAAGAGATGTCTGATGAAATTAATTGGATGCCGTGGATCGCAAAAGATAACAAGCTGCTGCTTAACAAATTTTGACTTTTCTGAAGGGTGTTCCGTCTTTTCTTCCTGGTGTTGAGTTTTCCATTGTAAGCGAGTCATTCGACTAGTTCTGCAAACAACAAATAATAATCACTTAATGATATATAAATAAATGTATCATTAAATTAGGATTATTTAGGTCGTGGCTCAGAGTTGTGCGCTGCTTTGATAAGCAGAGTTCAAATTCGACCAGAAATTGTTTTCAACTTCCACCTCTTGGAAGGAAGAGGTAATCTCGTTCTATTTAGAAATACAGAGAAGTTTAACACTCAACAATCAAGCACGGTGATTGATCAATCCACCTTAAGAAATTCTGCTTATTTAAACCTCTACGAGGCCCTATGCTCCCCGTAGGAATCCTTTTCCTAGTAGCTCCTACTAGGAGTGACAGGATTTACACGCAAGATTGTTCAGAGATCTTGTTTCTCGCAATTAATAATCTTGCTCTATTTTTTTACTTCTACGAAAATATACTCTAACATAAATACCTTAACAATGATATTTACTTCTCTAATCGACATAGAGGATTATTATGAACCATTTCCATGTCCACCTTTGGCCCAACCAGATCCCGTATATTGTTCAAGCCGTATTTAATCATTGTTGGTCTAAATAAAGAAGTAAAGCGCCGTTACGTCTTTGTATTATTTAATTGCGGCGTCATACGTGTCTTCATACCTTTCTAACGACAAGCCCCATGCAATGACATTTACATCAGGCGGCAGATTCATCGGCAATATCATTTCAGGCCTGAACATACCGCTGTTGCCAATCTCTATCCACTTGTTCAGACCATTATGGAAACAGAATATTTCCATGCTCGGCTCGGTGTACGGATTATACGCAGGTTTGAACTGAAGCTGAGTGATGCCCAGCTTGCTGAAGAATTCGTATAAAACACCGATGAGATTGCCCAGCGTAAGGTTGTAATCGGCAATGACACCTTCGACTTGATGAAACTCGGCAAGATGCGTCGCATCTAGAGTCTCATTGCGGAATACTTTATCAATACTGAAGTACTTGACCGGCTTAAACTCTCCCTGCAAAACATTTTTCATCATTTTTTTCACATTTTTCATTTTTCAGTGTCTCTGGAGAAGATCAACTTGCTACATTTTATCACTCGACCGCGTACCTCCTGCATGAGTTTATACAACATCCGCGCGCTGTTGGACGTCGTATGAGTGCGCAGCAAGTTTTTCTGTGCCTCCTCCAACTTCCAGTCGTACCTGTAACCCTGAGATCCGTACGCTCCTTTGCTGTGAACGGTCTTCACTTTTTCGAGATACTCCATGGGGAACTTGGTGCTAGTACGTGGTTCTAAAAGACAAAACTGATTTTTTATCCGCGCCTCTCGAGCGTTACTTTATATGTCGGTCTATGCTGGGGTACCAGAGATGAAGAAGGTGTCGTGCGCATCACGAGCAGGATGTTGCTGCGGCTGGAAGAGAGCGTCGAAATTCCAGAAAGAACTTTCCACGTAATTATTCGTCGGCATTTCCGTAAATCTGAAATAGAGTCATTTTTGCGACGTTACAATGACTAGTTCTGTTTAGCGCTAAAATCTAGACTCTTAATACGAATCCTGCGACGGAAGGGCGACGTCACTTACCCCATCTCCACGAAGATCTTCCTGAATTCTTGGCGAACTTTTAACAATGGATGTAAGTGGCCGATTTGAAGCGACGCGCCTAGAGCCTCAAAGTTGTACGGTTTGAACTTCTTGTCCTTCCACGCGCCACTTACCAGCAGATCCGACGTCAGGTCTGCTTCCAGCTTGTCTACTTTTGTGGAAAAGTTTGGCCCCTTCTCGAGATGCATACTTTTAATCACCCTGTCGTCGCAAGAAGTGAAAGTTGAAAATGTAAGTTAACGACTAAAGCCAATGGCACGCAATACTATTTTTCCTGTTAGATTGCCTACGTGAACCAATAAGGATGCAGAGTGTTAGATCAGGTGACTTAAGGCTAAATCCTGACTGGCTCTCGTCAACAATCCAGTAGGAAAAATAGTATCGTGTGCCGTTGGTTTTACTGTAAGAAAAGGGTAGATAATTTTACATTCTCCTTTACACATATCATCCTGGCTTCAATGTCTTTTAACTCTGATCCTAGTTTGTCTCTTTTCCAGGGGACAGTTAGAAGGAGACAAAGGATAAATTAAACTAAAGCTCCAAGTTTAACGACGCTGAAAACCAGGGTCAGTCTTATCTTATGTCACTTACACCTCTTGCAAAAGCTTCCTCTTCTTGTACTCTGCCTTAACGTTTTCCGGGACACTCGTGAGATTCTTCAGGTGTGTCCGCGTGACGTCTTCAATGGACGGTACCTTCTTTCTTACCATAGGGACGTCTCCGCTCTTGTCGAGCTCGATCCACCCAGCGACCATCGCCTTGGAAAAGCCCACTTTGGCGTAGGGGCTGGACTTGACGAGCTTCGCCTGAGGTATCCCGTCGTCGGGAACGGCGTTGTAGACGACCGCCTCGTGGCTGCCGCGTTCTATAACGTACTTCCCCTCGTCGGTAAGCTCCCATCTCTTCTTGGAAATCGGTTTCGCCGCGATTAACTGGAAATAGGTTAAGGTGGAGCGTTTAATTGAGAGCAAGGTCTCCAGGTGAAGATATATCTCGACGAGTGTGACTGATCAGCGTGTCTCACGTTAATTTAGCCGCAGGTGCGGAAACAACTGACATATGAATTGAAACGGCGCGGCATAAGGGTCTCCATTGTTGAGGCAAACTCACGTCGTCGACCGTCTCGAGGCTCTTGATCGCGCCCACGATCCTCTGATGGTCCTCCTGAAACTCGTCCGCCAAATCCAACGAGGTCGTTTCGCCATGCGCGGCGAGATACTCTAAAATCCGGTCCGTCAATTGCCTTGCCATCTTGCACCGACAGCCAGCCAGCGTGCACGCGGAGCTAAATCGTGACGTACTAATTTGTATTAATTTGTCACAACCGGCACCAAAACCACGTGGTATGAAACTCGGAGGCTTAAAGCCTCCGCTACAATGATTCTCGGTTCTGTCTACAATGCCGCGTTCAGCAGACACAACTGTTGAGTGAGCGCTCAGTATGATTGGTTAATACTTTTAGATCCAGCCAATCATATTAAGGATCTAAAAGTGTTAACTAATGCCTGTGTCCAGCAGAAGTTTGCGCTTGCTAAGCGCTTTGCGTTCATTGGATTATACTTTCAGATCTGTGCTGAAATAGAGCTATTCTTCTAGATCTATCCAATCAGCATAAAGCGCTTATTCTTAGCTAACTTCGGCAGAACACAGCCAATCATACTGAGCGCTCACTCAACAGTTGTGTCTGCTGAACGCGGCCAATGGTCGTAGTCGTAAGAATAATCGACTGCGATTGGTCAATTCAGTCAGACGCATAAGAATTGACCAATCGCAGTCGATTATTCTTACGACTACGACCATTGTAGACAGAACCGAGAAACAGCAAGCGCCATATTGGTGTGACCTACTGGAGACATTTGAAATAGTAATAAATACAATGTCGAAAAAATGATGTACTCTTGAGACAATTTTATTTCTTATAACGTACGTAGTTGTAAAAAATTGTAATATGTTAAACTTTTCAATTGAAACAAACGAATCGTTATTTATAAACTTACAATTTTTTTATGTAAAATGAGCAATGATATACTTTTTTCTAACAGCGAAATACATACATACATATGTTATATATCCTGGAACAATATTATCTCAAGTACAGCTCTGAATATGTATATTGCAAGATAAAACTCGAGGCAAATATAATTTCAACAGGAGTAGGACTCTACTTCAGCCAAACGCGCAATCTACATATTATACGTCTATGGTCGAGACTCCAGCTCGTCAACAAGCCGTGTTTATAAAAACAATCATATATGCACGTTGCTCCGTATTTGCATTCGTGTTTTTTTTTTTTTTAATTATTCGTAAGGAATGAATAGAGTTGTGAAGGATACGCTTCAAGATTGTGCAATACGCCACTTTCAAGACAAATTTCATTAATCGCTGCGTCGAGTATGTCGCAAAGGTATCCACGTGAATCACGAGTCGCCGACGAACTCGTATGAGCGTTGTCCCGTTTTCCTTGTATGAGCATGCGTCTCCTCGAATTAATGTCGATTATGTTGAAAAGTGATCGCCGAGCTATCGGCCTTATCCGTAAAGTGCGCAGATCGAACGAGATCCCGCGGAGATGGAATCGCAGAGTGTTCACCAGCAATTTTCGCACCAGCCGGAGACCAGGGGGTTCGATCTCGTGGCTGGAAACACATGGAGATACCCGGAAAATTACCCGATCCGCCAGTACCAGTATAACATAGTCAAGTCTGCCTTGTATCGCAATACCCTGGTCTGCTTACCCACCGGTAAAAGAAAGAGATGTTTTCTGGGAGGGTATTTTTTATATATACATATGCTTTATTACCTTTAGCATACAGCCAGAAAGTGGGACTTGGTTTACAAAAGTTCCTTAACCACTCATTCATCCATACTCTCATTCATACTCTCTCTAATCTCTACCCCTAAACTCTTTTCCTTCTTATTTCTTACTTCTAATTTCTTATTTCTACAATGACTAGCTCATCTTTTTTGCCTTTCTTTTTCCTTCCATAATTTACATAATATCTTTCCTTTATCTTCATCTATTACATCGTTATATAATCTTTCCAACTTCTTTTCCATACTATTACCTAACTCTAAAAACCAGTCTTTCGTCGTTTTACAATCCTTTAAATAGTGCTGTATATTATCTTTACCCTCCTTACAAAATATACACATTCTTCTTTTATTTTCTTCTTCCAACCAGTATTTCTTATCTTCCTCCATGTTTCCGTATCTTAATCTTATCAGCGCTCTAATTTCCTTACCTTTTCCCATCATATCTATATTCCTAAACTCTAAGTATCTCGGCCTCCCCTCCGCATTGCTTAAATCTCTATATCTCTTATTATATTTCGCTTCCCTAATCCTACCTTCTTCCCATTGCCTTTGTGTCTCCTTCTCTATTTTTAAATCTTTTATCACATTCCTTTCCTCCTTCGGCATGTTATCTACTGCAATAATACCCCATCCATTTCTATTATAATAAGCCTCCCTCTCCCTACCATACAAATCAGTCCATCCTTCCTCTTGTTTTTCCTTCCAGCAAACTTTTATCCATCTATTGTCCCTGGGAGGGTATTTTAAGCGTTGTTGTTAGGCCCCGGTCTGCAATGAGTTGTTAGTCAAAAGTCACAACTACACCATAACATAATCTATCAGACGTACACTTAAATACTTTAACACTAACTGTTTTCAATTTTGCAACAGGTTTGGGAAAGACCTTCATCGCCGCCGTTGTTATGTACAATTTCTGGAGGTGGTATCCGTACGGGAAGATTGTATTTTTAGCGCCTACAAAGCCTCTGGTTGCCCAACAGATCAATGCATGTTACGAAGTGATGGGGATACCGAGCGAGGATATGATAGAACTGACAGGTTTTAACATTCGTCTAACAGCCAATTGATCTCTGAAGTACACGTGTTGTCAAGCGTGATAAAAAATATGTTCCAATCCAGGTGCGGTGATCCAGAAGAATCGGGAAAAAGCCTGGCACAAGAAGAGGATAATATTTGCCACTCCTCAAGTATTTCATAATGATCTCGAAAAATCATCAGTGCCGAGTTGTTTGATCAAGTGCGTCGTCGTGGATGAAGCTCACAAGGCCTTGGGCAAACACTCGTATTGTGAGGTAAAGAGACGCGAGATATAGGCTGCGGTCAAGCTGTCGCTTCAAACGTTTCAAAGTATGCAAACGTTTGAACTTGAGAAGTATATTCTTCGTCTCCTTTCTTTGAGAGAAGATGGTGAAGAGAAACACTTTGAGACATTTGAAGCTGCTTAACCACGACCATAAAATTATTACGTTACAACAAACTAATGAGATAATTTGCAACTTTTAGTGTATCAGAATATTGTTCACTCAAAATCAGTACTTTAGGATATTGGCGCTATCCGCTACGCCTGGAAATAAATTAGATAATGTTCATGAAGTGAGTAAACTTAATGCTATACGTAGATATGTATAATAATAATATCTGTATTCACCTTAGCAATACATAGCCAAGAATCGGCTATATGTAAATATTAATTTTATTGGAAATTAAGAGAAGTTTTAGTATTCTAATGGATCTTTCGTTGCCCGTAGGTAATACAGAAGTTAAACATCTCCCATTTGGAATTGAGAGATGAAAACTCAATCGACATACTGCCATATGTTAATAAAAGGAAAGTAGATATTATTTTGGTGCCTCTTAGCGACGAATTAGCCACGTTCAAAGAGAAATACATCACTGTCATGGATCGCCACGTTAGATTTCTTATGCAGTGTAATGTACTACAAGGTCATACTGCAAATATATCTAAAGGAAGGGTAATTAAATTTTATAAATTAATTCTGTACATATTTTGTAATCTACTGATACATAATTTTAAATGTTTGCTGTGCTCGTCTCTAGGTATTCTATTTATTGAAGGAATTTAAGACAAAAACGGATAAATCTGGAAATTATGGGCAAATTATGAAGACATTGAACATATTGTTATCTATGTATCACGCTTATGAACTTATGATCAGGCATGGATTGCGTGCCTTCTGCAAATTTTTTGAAAGTATGCACACTTGTAATTTATAAACTATAGTTAATGTTACGAAACACGCCATAATTTCTTGAGATATTTATCTGCGGAAGCAAAGTTTTTTAAAGAAAATATTTTTAGATCATTCTGATAAGTTTTGGATACATAATGAAGATCTGTTACGAGATTTACTACAGGACATAGAAGCTTATCTCGGGCCGTTTCCAAAATTATATCCCAATGGAGATGTGTCTGAGGTTTGCAGAACTATATAATAAACTAAAAAGTTACTTAATCAAATATAATTATATGTGGATATAATTGTTGCAGATACCGGCGAACATGGTATTTGGACATAATAAATTTTATAAATTAAAAGAGTTGCTTGAACATCATTTTAATACCAACAGTGGCGATCAAAAGGATACAAGAGCTATAGTTTTCGTCGAGGTATGTATAGTAATCTTTCAGTCTGTTTATACAAATATATATAATTTATGCTATTCATTTGAAACTTTTTGAAATTATAACATAGAAAAGTGTACTTAATATTCATGTTTAGAAAATTTAATATATTACTTCATGAATCTTCAGTACAGAGATATAGTCAATGAAGTATATATTTTACTCTTGCAATCGAAACCAATAATTAGGCCACAGATGTTTGTTGGCCAAGCTGGTCAGAAGCAGAAGCAACAAATAAAAGCATTGGATGATTTTCGAAGCAATCGTGTCAATGTGTTGATTTCAACGAGTATAGGTGCGTGAAAAACAGCGATATTAATCATATACTATGCCGAATTTTAGTCTTTAAATTGTATCTGTTTCTTGAGATATATTAATTCTTCGATAATATGCGATATGTAGGTGAAGAAGGATTGGACGTTGGGGAAGTAGATCTGATAATATGTTTCGATGTATCGCAGCATTCCCCGATAAGGTTGGTTCAAAGAATGGGCAGAACAGGACGCAAACGAGATGGCCGTATAATTGTTCTTGTTACGGATGGGAAGGAACACGAGGTAACTAAAGACTTTACATCTTTTATGCAATCTTTTATATATGCACTTCAACTGAAATACTTTGCAGAATTTGAAGTCTACGCTTTCCAGAAGGGACTCCCTGAACAATAAAATATTAAACACGAGCAACATATCTTCCTCCTTGTATAACAATAATCCTAGAATGATACCAACACAATGTAATCCGGAATGTCATAAGATACATATTACAGTACTACCAAAAGTGCCAAGTATAAAAGATAAAAGAAAGAGGAAGAATGTCAATAAAAAGAATGAAGCATGTAATATGAAAGAAAGTGAGTATTACGAGTAATTTAATAATTTTCTTTTGATTCTCCTTTTCTTATTAGCTACGTTTTATTTGTTAAAATAGTAGATTAATTTTCTGTTACATTTCTTAAAAGATATGTACTTGTTTTACAGCCTTACCTAAAAAGGAAAATACAGGTCAAACATTGATAAAGAAGTTTCTTACTGATAGCAAATGTAACGAACAGAACCAGGATAAAACATACAATATTCTTACTCAGTTAACAACGCAAAATGATAATAAGCATAATACGATAAATCCTGATAATGTCAAATTGTTAACTGATGATGACGCGGGGATCGAATTCTTGACTTTATGCGCAGTAAAGAAGTCGGAGGAAGAAATGTCTTCTGAAGCTGTGCCTGAAATGGATACAACTTACATTCCCGCGCCAAAACCAGTTAAAGATTTATTCAATTTTGTAGTACCCGATATAGAAGTTATTAATTCTATATCTTTTTTAACGGAAGATTATTTAACGCAATGTAAAGACTACGAAGAAAATTTATCGATGCAATGTAAAAACAATGAGGATGAGGATATTCATGAGACTGATGATATTATTAATTCTGATAACGATAACTTTTGGTGCACTGTGCGAAACGAGAGGAATGTTGATAATAATGAAATAAAATTCGAAGATCTACTTGATGAGAGTTCTGATTCGGACGACACAGCATTCTTGTATCTAAGTCAAAGAATTATAGATATGGAGTTAAGTAACACGAATGAAGCTTCTACGTCTGGCATGAGAGAGGATAACAAAATAACTGGCACGGAAACCGAACTATCAACCAGTAAGCTAGAAGATTTGGAACCCACCATATTTGAAAACATATTAAATGAGTCATTTAGTTCAGTTGAAGACGATTTAGAAGATAAGGATGATACGCCATTGCGGAATATCGAATCTCCAAATCCGGCAAACGTTCTTACTAAAAATTCAGGAGAAAGCAATGTGATGCATGAGACTAACATCGGCACCTCGCTTTTACAAAACAAAGATAATGTTGCTGGAACTAATCAGAATCTGCCAGCAACTATGAAACTCACCAAACCTCATCAAGTGAATAAATTTGTAAGTTTGCTAAACGAAATACAAGATATTGACTTTAATAGTGACGATGATATAAGCGAATTTGTCAAGTGCGACTCTAATAAAAATAAGTCAACACGTAATTCCAAAGCAGAAGAGAGTTTGTTGTCCGTCACTCAAGCTATTGGCGAGATAACACGTGCGAAACAAAACTTAGAAACGTCAAGGAAAATAAGCAAAAAAGAAGATAGCGCAGGCTCGATTTCAGTCGATATTAGAGGTGAAATTAAAATTGGGGAAAATGAGACAAATTCGAGGACAGATAACGTCACGTTAGCAAATATGCATTGCAATTCTGCTGTTAAAACAAATACTGTTAAACAAAACTTCAATGATTTCCTAGATGATTCCGACGAAGACTTTATGATTACGGAGGATAACGCTAAAAAATTTAATGAGCTTGAAAGCTGTTATTTTCGCAGTTCATCAAAAAATTCAGAAGACGATATTAGTTGCATACCCAGTACATCGACAAACTCAGAAATTAAAAACGGATATTTTGATAATATATCGAAAAACTTGACAACTAAAGATATTTATTTCAAAGATACGTCGAAAAATTTGAAACCGTGTGGTATGTCAACGCCGAAAAGTCATAGAATTCGTTCGAAATTATCTTTGAAACGAAACAAAGCCCAGCAAGATTCGATAGATTTGAGTGTCTTCAAAGTACCTGATAAATGTGTTAGTAACAAAAAAGACAAAAGTCTTTTAAAATCTCGCGCTGATACACCAGAGCAGAGCACATCATCGGACGAAGAATTCGTGCGAAAAAGTAATAACAATGCCAGAAATGCATTTATAGATGATGAAGCGGAGGTAGAGTCTGACGTCAGTTCGGACGAAATTGTTATTACAGACGACGAGGATCTTGCAGAGTTCATAAGCTATTCACAAGACCATCAAGATCAAGACATGCATGCGCATTATCTGCAAACTATCAAGAGCCCAATAAGGAGACCAGGCGCATTTCATTTCAGGACACCGCGATCACCCGCTCCTGATATAGAGATTTACTCGCAGGTTTCACCACGAATGCAAGACTCGTATGTTAACGTACGTATATTATCGGATCTATTCGGAATTGAGACAAGTGTTTGAACCGGTTTTTTACGTATACGATAAATTAACGAAATATCTTATATGTATTTAATTTTGATTTTAGGATTCATTTTGCGTTGATGGAGACACTGAGTCAAGCACACTCGCTCACAGCGACTCGCTATTAGATAAACTAGAAAGAAAATTAGAGCAAAACAGACGAAAACGTATCCGTTCTAACAAAGGTACGAAAAACGCTAAAAAGATGAAAAGGATTATTTTAAATTATTCTGTAAGTAGCGAGGATGAAATCTAATAGCTATATGTACGAGTGCAGGAAGGACTGATTATGATTAAATAAAAATAGAATCAAGCTGTGATGCGTTTATGATTAGTTATGGAGTGCAGAAACGCATTTCCAATAGAAAAGAATGTGAATACTTATTAAAGATTTATATGTATTTTGTACAGCGACGTTTTTGTAATAAAATTATGTAAAGATTTATATCAATCATATAACACAATGATTTGTGAACGACAGCGTATCTCCGTATCCTCCTCTCGCATGAAACACGTTTTTTCCGTTCAAAATATATCTTTTTCGTCATTTATTAAAAATCTAACTTACTATCATCACACGTTTTCCGTTTGCGATATACATCTTTACAACTTATATCCGTTCAAACTCGAGTATTGATTTATGATTAACTTATAGATCTACCAATAATGTCTGTTAAAGTTGCCGTAATCAATATATCATTTATTTCAATGGAAGCAAGTTGCGCAAAAAATAATTATACGATATTGTAACGTAAAAGTTATTCAAATATTGCTAATTTGTTCATTCATGATGCTGCTGATTCAATGTAAAACAATGCGTTTAATGCAAGTCCTATCTTTATCGTAAACTGTCAGCGCGCAGATACCGATAACTGGAGATTCGGGCATTAAGGTTTATTATAGGTTTGGAAGAAAACGCACTATCTTAGATATGAAAGAGTAAAACCAAATGGACAGCAAACCTATCAGTAAAGATACATTTGTAGAAGTATATATAAAGACGGAACGCAAGCTCTTCTGTTTTAGTTACCATTTCTTACCGGGTGAAATTACCTCGAGATCGTTGAAGAAGCAATACTTTAGAGGTACGAAGTGTTCCAGAGAAATTGAATTAGTAACTAAAACAGCTGACAATAAAATAATTAAAGCAAAATCAATTATATAGTTTCTCGAAACAACCTACACTGGCCAGTGTTTTTATTTAAAAAACAACAACGTTTCGGTCCCGGATTTAGACCCTTCTCAAGTATTCTTTTTCGCACAATTGCCATTGATATCATATCGCTCGTTTGACCAATATCGTTATGTTAGAAAGATATTGGTAAAAACTGATTGCACTCCTTGATTGAGGAGTGCAAAGTCAATTTTGGTTGCGTTGTTAATTTTGTGACACGAGTAAAAATGTCGAGTGTGTTCGTCGAGATGTCGGATCGAACTGACATCAGTCATAACGATATTGGCCAAACGAGCGATATGATATCAATGGCAATTGTGTGAAAAAGAATACTTGAGAAGGGTCCAAATCCGGGACCGAAACGTCGTTTGTTTTTTAAATAAAAACACTGGCCAGTGTAGGTCGTTTCGAAAAACTATATCGTTGCTTTTATATTACTGGCGATAAGCAATTTATTTGTGAGTTAAAGAAAAATGTTGTGTTACAATTACAACTTAAATATTGAACGATAACTGATTGACTGTGAAGTAGTTAATTCTCTTCTATTTAAACAGAAGTGCTCTTACAAAATTTTTGCAGGTCCAACTCTACAAAGCGAGAAAAGATGTATCGCGCAATGATTCTTTTAGGATTGATTGCTGTCGGATTTGCATCAACCGTCCCAAATGTTAAAAGGTACCCCAGACAACAAGAACACACAAAAACGCAAACTCAACAACAGGTAAACTCAACAACAATATTCGCTTGCTTTATCACCACCCAACCTATCCGGATTTATGTTAAGATTGTGACACCCACCTCGGGAGCCCCATTAGTTCCTGTGCAGAACAAGAATGTGCCCGCCTTGGAAGTCGCAGTGCCTGTGCAAAACAATAATTTGCCCACGCAGGTTACAACAGTGCCTTGGGAGAAAATCAATTCATTTTTCTCCATCTTGAAGCCTTATATATACAAAGCGATGTCTTACGGCACTCAGGTTAGCAACTATTTGTTGCAAATCTTTGGGGCAATCTTTATCAGCACAACCTTATTCGGCTTGGTTTGTTCGCACACGTCGGCCTGCTCTCTACTAGGAGTTAACCAGGCAAGGCAGAATACATGTATTTATTTCTTCTTTTCCACCAGATCTCGAAGCGCTTTCAATGTTTGTACAACTATCATCCATCCTTATCCATTATATGAACATTGCCGAGAACTCGATTTATAAATTTTTTTAAATATTGTTACCATAAAGAGGAGTACTTTCAACATTTTTTCCAAAATAATATAAATATTTACCTAGTATCCGACTGAACAAGTTAGCACATGTTACTCTCTTTAATTATAAACTCTTCGAGTCGATGCTTTTTCTTTTTACCAAAATTCATTCAATGACTGCAATAATCATTGCCGATATATAATCTTATTTATATTCTGCAAGTTCTCTCTCTCTCTCAGCTAATTGATTTAGTTTAATATTTTTTACGTATTTATGTTCTACTAAGTGTACGGAGTAATTCTTAATTTTAATATGTACAACCACGAATAGGCAAATAATGGCGATTATTTGCATGAATAATGGATGAAGTGTGCATGTGTAAGCTTCTACCCAGCA